TAAATCCGCTTCTGACATTTCGGTATTTATAACTTTAAAATTCGCTTGTCATGCTAAGAAATCGATCTTCATTTAGCGATCAATCAATCTAACGATCAATGGCGTCACTAGGTCGGGTGCAATAGAACGACAAATGAGGATGTCACCCCACACCCCTCCAGAGTTGCTGGACCAATGTTACATTACAAGGGGAACATAACTTTTTACATTACAAATAGTAGATCGAATTGTTAAACTAATAAGTAACCATACCAATGTTACAATACAAGGGAAACTGAACATGTTACATTACACATACAAATAGTAGAGCGAATTGTTAAACTAATAAGTAACCATACCAATGTTACATTACAAATAGTAGAGCGAATTGTTAAACTAATAAGTAACCATACCAATGCTACACTACAAAGTAATCAGACCAATGCTACACTACAAAGTAACCCTACCTATACTTCACTACAAAGTAATCAGACCAATGCTACACTACAAAGTAATCAGACCAATGCTACACTACAAAGTAATCAGACCAATGCTACACTACAAAGTAATCAGACCAATGCTACACTACAAAGTAATCAGACCAATGCTACACTACAAAGTAATCAGACCAATGCTACACTACAAAGTAATCAGACCAATGCTACACTACAAAGTAATCAGACCAATGCTACACTACAAAGTAATCAGACCAATGCTACACTACAAAGTAACCCTACCTATACTTCACTACAAAGTAATCAGACCAATGCTACACTACAAAGTAATCAGACCAATGCTACACTACAAAGTAACCATACCTATACTTCAATACAAAGTAATCAGACCAATGCTACCCTACACAGTGGCCAGATGTATACTACAGCACAAAACGTTTACCACACCTCTGCAATAGACATGAACTGGTACCGTCATGTATATTTTAGTAACTTGAAAGACTTATTTTAAAAAATCACACGGCGTGACACAGCCAGGCACGGAATGCCGCTGTTATACGGACACAGACTGCTGTAACCGTTTTATTTAACCACCTGACACAAGGGCATCGTTCATCTTCTACAATTGAATTTTAACTTTTGTAAGGTATTTTTTTGTAATTTGTGTGTGTATTAGATATTGATTCATATTCTTTTAATATGTATTAAAGATTTAGCGTTTTTAGTTCGTAATATATTGTACAGTTAATCTCCTGCACATGCTTAACGATATGTAAAAATATCTTTAATCACCCCAGCAGCATTACATTAGTTAATCGGGTAGTCGGTTCATCTAATAGTAGAGCTAAGTGATCAAAACACATAGGCCTACTGCTTTTACACTCTGTATTCATTACATATAGACCAGTGAAAAGAAAAACAATACGACGTTAACGTTAGTTAATTTTGTTCATATTTTAGGTGAATGCAAATTTTAAAATATTGACATCAAGGAGTAATTAAATACACGACAAATATTTAATGCCCAAGCAGTGGCGTAGCGAGGTCGGGTGTAACCCGGTGCGGCACTTAATGGTGTCTACCCCCCCCCCCCCCTCTTCCAGGGAAAAACTTTCAATTTTCGATTTGCACCCTTCCCCAAACTTTCGATTTACACCTCTTGAAAGACTATTTAATACTCGAATTAACAACGTAATTAAATTAAGTGGAATTATCATTTTACTGTATATATTTTGCTATTTTTTTGCCTTGTTGTCACACCCCTAAATGGTGTTACCCGGTGCGGTCCGCATCCCCCCCTCGCTACGCCTCTGTGCCCAAGTAGTCTAAAGTCTAAGGTATACGTAAATAAAATGTGTTTTCCTGTATTTACAGACACATTTGAAATTTATCAAAACTCGTTTTGTGGCCAAACAAACGTAAAAAACGTACAGTATCCTCTCGATGAGGCCAACGGTTAAACTACCACAGGGTTACCGGACACTTTGCCTATTTCTATTTAGTTATCCAGCGTAAAAGACAAGAAACAAAAGCTGTTCTCTTCTTATCGTTCACCACTCGGCATAACAATTTTAATTATGTAATTGTTTTCTAAGGAATCATTTTATTGCAGTCTTTGGATCATTAGAAACCGTTCTGTGTGTGTGGGCTAATAATTTTCTAATTTATTAAAGTGATGTTTTTATAACAGTTACACTATAAACTTTTTGATTACGCTTTTTTATTACTACTAATTATACGTGTAAAATTGTTACATAAAGTAAATTAACATGATGTGTTGTTTTTTAGTACGCTACAGCAGCAATCACGTTAAATAATCTTGATGCAAACATTGCAAGGACTGTCAGTTGGCCGGGAATGCTCTTACTAAATCTGACTCTTACCCATTACCTAGAATAGAGAATGTGATTGATAAAATCGGTCAATCCAGAGGTATTTCCAAAATTGACTTGTTGTCATGGTATTGGCAGATTGCTTTATCAGAGAGGGCCAAAGATTTCTGCATGTGTTACACCAAATGGGTTCTACAGGTATAAACGCATGCAATTTGGTATGAGGAACACTGGGCAAACGTTCCAACGTGTCATAAACTCAGTTTTTGCATATATTAAAATGTGATGCTTACATTGATGATATTTTAGTGTTTTCAGATTCCTTTGAAGAGCACATTGTCCAATTCACTAAACTTTTCAAAAAATTGTCAGATATTAATTTCACGGTCAATCTACATAAAAGCGACTTTTGTAAAAGTTCTATTACTTATCTAGGTTACCAGGTGGGTACTAACCAGGTACGACCCATTCAAGCTAAGGTTGAAGCTATTGTGAAAATGCCCCCTCCCAAAAATTGTAAGGAAATTAAAATATTCCTAGGGATGGCAGGTTATTACAGGCGTTTTTGTAAGAATTTTTCAGCTGATGCTGAACCATTAACTGCTTTGTTAAAGAAAGGTGTTGATTTTGTATGGTCATATGAGTGTCAGAATGCCTTTCTAGACATTAAATGCTTTTTATCTAATTCACCTGTTATGGCTGCTCCAGATTTTAGCAAGCCTTGCAAGCCTTGCAAGCTTGCTATTGATGCCAGTGACACGGCCATTGGCTCTGTCTTATTTCAAGAAGATGACCAGGGAATTAACCACCCAATTGCTTTTTTTTCTAGAAAGCTGAATGACAACCAGAAAAATTACTCCATCATAGAAAAGGAAGCATTAGCATTAGTATTGTCCTTGCAACATTTCAAGGTTTATGTTACTTCCTCAATAAATCCAGTAATGGTATTCTCTGATCATGACCTTCTGAAATTCACCACTAAATTAGGACAAAAGAACAACAGAATTTTAAGATGGTGTTTGCATTTCCAAAACTTTAATTTGATTATTTCCCATATTAAAGATAATGATAATATTGTGGCTGACTGTTTGTCAAGAATGTAACCCTTTTTATTGATATCCACATGGTTCATGGGAAATTTTTGTTGGTTTGTTATGACCATTTTCAAGTTTTTACTTCGGTGATTTGCCCTGTCTTAGGAATGTAAATGGTCTTCATTCTGCAGTTATGTAGCTATTTTATAATGACATTTAAATTGTAGTTTTATTTCCGTCTTTAGAAGCAAACGAAACGGGCATTCTAATGGCACGTTTAATCTGTAGGGTAAGTAATCCTAGAAATATTACAGTAAAATAATTAAGAAATATAATCAAAATGTGTCATTATATAACTAAATATTTAAGGACACTTTATATACATTTGCATTAACGTTTTCAGGAATGTCCTTTATACTGTCGGTTCTGGCTTTCTTATTAAGTGCAGCAGTGATCACCTACAGTATTTTTAACATACATTTTTACAATGGAGACAAGGTATGGATACTAAGGCTTTAAATTGGCTACGGTGAACAATAATTATGTAAATTATCTTTTTTATTTAAATTCACTCATTTGAAAAATGTTTATTAATTTACGTAATGAAATAAATGTGTGCTGACATCCTTTAAATCACATGACTATTTGCATTCTTACCTGAGCATAATCAATTTGGAACAAGATGCAGCTATCGTCTTTCGCATCACAACCTTTACCAAATTGTTCTGGCCTAAATGTGTGCACACATGTGTTTTTGCCGTGATATTGGTGCTGGTTAGAGTTATACAATGTCTGCTGTAAGCCATGTTGTAAACCAAGTAAATCTTGTTTGGGTTTTAACATAGAATTTTCATGTAAGGCTAACTATATTTGTTTCACACATTTTGTTTTTAATTTGAACTTATTCGAGTCAATAGAAAGTCCTGTTAGTGCGGTTCATATCTTTGCTGTCACCTAGCCTGTAGCCTCTATGTTCAAACTCTATTGGGTGTGTCCGACAATAGAATATTATTACTGGCCGATGGGGTTACAATTTGTCAACAAAAGAAATATTGTCCGTCGACCTTTACTAAATTTACCAGATTGTTAAAGCTTACCTGAATGACACCCGATACAATATCTATAAGAAAACTTAACCGTCTTTTTTTGAAGACCTTTAACAGGCAATGTAACAAGTCATATATATATATATATATATATATATATATCTATATATATCTATCTATCTATATATATATATATATATATATATATATATATATATATATATAAACATATATATATATATATATATATATATATATATATATATATATATAAACAAATATATATATATATATATATACATACATATATATATATATATATATATATATATATATATATATATATATATATATATATATATATATATATATATATATATATATATATATATATATATATATATATATATATATATATATATATATAAAACTTATTTGCCTCGCAGACAAACCATATTTTGAGGTTATCAAGCTATTATCCACAAGAGAAGCTTAACTTTACAATCCTAAATTAATATTTTAAAATAACATTTGAGTATCGCTTAGTTAAATGATCATTTCCTCTTCTTTGTGAATTCAAATTTAAAAAATATCTTATTAATAGCTACCAATATCAACTTATTCCACTCTCGTGTACATCTAGATAGCACCGCTAAGGCCCTGTGTCCAGTCTCTGTACATGTTAGATTGTTTCCTTCCGTACGGTTTACTAGTACAGACAATATAGAAGGTAACTTGGCATTATTATTCTGTTCGCACATATATTTCTTTTTTCATTCAATTTTTAGTTCATTATATATATATATATATATATATATATATATATATATATATATATATATATATATATATATATATATATATATATATATAAACATATATATATATATATATATATACATATATATATATATAATATATATATATATATATATATATATATGGGAGCCGGACGTTTTCCCGAACGACACTTGCCCGAATGCCGTTTGCCCGAAGGCCGATTTCCCGAATGGACACTTGCCCGAATGCGACAAATGCCCGAATGGACACTTGCCCGAATGCGACAAATGCCCGAATGGACACTTGCCCGAATGCGACAAACGCCCGAATGGACACTTGCCCGAATGCGACAAATGCCCGAATGGACACTTGCCCGAATGCGACAAATGCCCGAATGCCACTTGCCCGAAGGCCGTTTGCCCGATAAATGTTTATATTAGATAATAAATAATATTTCCAATTAGACATTCTTTAATCAATTTAAGTTTGAAATTTTGATTATAAACACAATTCTAAGCATAAAACAAAGTTGTTTCTATTTTTTAATTTAGCTTTTTTTTTCAAAACTGAGAAAGTGCAGTAAGAAAAACTTTATTCTTTAATAAATGTAAGGTGATGTTGGCGGCGGTGTTCTAACATTCTTTTGATGTAAGTTTTGAATTCTAACATTCTTTTGATGTAAGTTTTGAACACCTTGTTTAGCCGACGTGTTGCGGTGGTTATATAGCTTTTATGACTCGGCGTAGGCGTCGCGGCGTCTCGCAACAATGAACAGAGGCGCGTTTGTTTGTTTATCTAATTATGCTAAACTTGTGTGGTGATCATTTAACAAAAGAATGATGCGAGGTCTAGGTGGCAAATTTAAAAACTAAACGTAGTCAAATATGTTTTATCTCCATTTAATGCACCGTGTTAAGACAATGTGTTGAAGGGATTACTTAATAAAGAAAGCAAAACTCATTTTAAAATCCTGTGATAAATGAAAATGGTATTTTTGTCTTATTTCATATATGGAAGAGAAAGTAAGTTTCTACACTTTTTAAATATCAAATACAAATTAATAAAAAATGTCTGCGTGGTAATATATAAAATTATTTTTTTTTTCACTTTCTTTTTGCGTAGATGTGTTTTGTTTACCAACATTTTAAATTTAAATTGATTACGAATGATTATTTAGTAATATATAATGTAACATTTTTTTCGGGCAAATGGCCTTCGGGCAAGTGGCATTCTGGCATTTGTCGCATTCGGGCTAGTGTCTATTCGGGCATTTGTCCCATTCGGGCAAGTGTCCATTCGGGCATTTGTCGCATTCGGGCAAGTATCCATTCGGGCATTTGTCGCATTCGGGCAAGTATCCATTCGGGCATTTGTCGCATTCGGGCAAGTGTCCATTCGGGCATTTGTCGCATTCGGGCAAGTATCCATTCGGGCATTTGTCGCATTCGGGCAAGTGTCCATTCGGGCGTTTGTCGCATTCGGGCAAGTGTCCATTCGGGCATTTGTCGCATTCGGGCAAGTGTCCATTCGGGAAATCGGCCTTCGGGCAAACGGCATTCGGGCAAGTGTCTTTCGGGAATTTGTCGTAGACCCATATATATATATATATATATATATATATATATATATATATATATATATATATATATATATATATATATATATATATATATATATATGCGTGTGTGTGTGTTTGTGTGTATGTATGTATATATTGTAAGTACGGGTGTATGTATTTTCAAATTTCCAAAACAAAACGATATATTTTATCCATAAACTAGACCCCATCTTTAACCCAACGAGCCACTCAACCCTTGAGTTAAACGAACAAGCAACAGACAACATCCACCAACACGCAACAGACGTCAACATCACACGGGAGGGGATCAAGATCAGATACTCAGGTGGGTCGATAAATAGTCGAAAACAAATTTCAGTTTGAGATTAACAACGGCGTATTTTAGCATTATGCCTGTATTAGACATTTTTATCTTCACCAATAATCAGATTTAATTAATTAAAATGGAAGACAAAGACACTTGCAATAATTTAAATAGTTATGTGCGATAGACGTAATCTAAATTACTTACATGAATTTATTAATTTACATCTTTCGTTTAAAACGTTATGCTTCATGAAATCAGTTATATTTAAGTTTAATCAACCAGTAAACTACAAATCGTCAAATATAATAATAATGGGGATATTCAAGCGAAACAAAGTATGGTCGATCAATAAAAAAAAATAACATTACTTGCTTTGTATATTCCAGGTCTGTATTACGTGTACAGTAACGTTAACTTTAAACCTAACTCGACTCGTTATTCTTCCGAATTTCATTATCAGGTAACTTTAAGTGAGGTAATATGTTTAAAACAAGCGATGTTTATGTATAATATTATGTTAACTGCTATACTATTATGTTTGCTTATTTCGATAGTTAGTGTTTTATCACCATGAATTAATATGTTTAACCAATCTGTGTAATATGTATAGTCAGTATACGTAATATGCTTAGTCAGTATAAGTAATATGTTTAGTCAGTATACGTAATATGTTCAGTCATTATACGTAATATGTTTAGTCAGTTTTGTGATGTTAGAAAGTGTTTACCTTATAGAAGAGAAAGGTGCTTACGATGCTTTAAAAAGTTATCGTGATTCTTTTTTACTGTCATTGAAAATGTCAAAGATGATAAAACCTATTGAATTTCACTGCAGTGCGGAAGTTAAGAGTAATATGATTATTCCACTACAATATATCCCTAAAGCCCTAATTTTTAACTAGGATTCCCTTGAAATTGATCATTATGGTATTAAAATACTGGTTAATAAAATATTGGTAAAATATAAGGACTTTTTAAAACACGTCATATAAATCTAATTAAAACAATAGAAAAATCAGTAGAACTAATTGTTTTTGTAATTATCCGTTTAGAAAATAGATGTGTAAACAGTATATCGATGATATAATTTAATAACTTGACGGATCCGTATTGAATATTGTCATTATTCGTCCTAGGTTTGTTCGCAATATTACAGCAGAGAAAAACAAATTTATTTTACACAAATTAGAAAAGATTTGTGTGCGTGTTTGTCTTGGGGGTCATCCATAAATGACGTCACGCTTTTTTGACGATTTTTACCTCCCCCCTTCCCCTCCGTCACACGTCGTCACAAAAAGCCAGACCCCCCCACCTTAAATGACGTCAAGCCTCAGCCTACACCCCCCCCCCCTCAAAATTGCTGTTTAATTTTTCTTAAAACATCGATATTTTTCCAAAATCTTGTCAGAACTCTGTCAACATAGAGTATTTTGATCAATTCCTATTACAATTTATTAAAACCGTTTTCTAAAACGCGAAATAACGGATAAAACTCGTTTTCTAACCTTGCTTTTTAATAATGCAAAAATAGTGACGTCACACCATCTGAACCCCCCCCCCCACCTCCCCCTCATCACACACCGTCAAAAAATTACGGATCCCCCCTCCCCCTAGGAGTGTGACGTCATTTATGGACGACCCCTTGTATGATATTGTCAGTATTGAGTTTTGTATTATCTGGTGTTATGTTCTCTTCTTCAAAAAAAACTTTTGACCTGTTTATATTGATAAAGGGCACGGCTATAAATCGAGTATATATATATATATATTTATAGATATATATATATAAAATCAGACTAGACAACAGAACATTGAATAAGTGCCACAAGCCAAATGTTTACCATAAATTTTCCACAGACGTGGTTCCAATACGTCCACAGACACTCAGTCACCAACCCAGTGTTATCAGGTGTCTTGTTGAGGACAGTTCACACCTGTTGTAGCAACTGTACAGGTAGTCAGGAGACGGCTTACACAGGTAATATCGATGAGCTTCACACCGTTAGAAAACTTACATCCTTTTCATAACATTAAATATTTAAAATAGATACCACTATGAAAAGCACGAAGAGACAATAAACAACGCTATAAAAATAATTACAACCACACACATTTCTCACGACCGTATCTACCTGCACAACTAGAATAACGGATTATTAGTAAAACACTGTAAAAATATAGTTGCTCACTGGGTAATCTAACACACAGGTTAACACGTTCACCTTAACAACCACCTTATCCCAATACACTCCATCGCCCCAATTCAAAACTAGTTTGTTTGAAAATAGCAACTTGTTCCATTTATCGTAAACAACCACAATTTAATGTTATAAATTTAATTCGGCTCTCAATTAAAGCTTTACAACTTGAATTCATTAGGTGGCACCTTCAATCTTCAGACAGGGGACATTATCCAAGTTTGTGTTTCTGGTCAAGGTTTAGTGGACTTTGGGACAGGTTTGACCTATCTTGGACTTGTTCTGATCAACTACTGAAGTAATTTTTTAATTTACTTTCTATTTTGATAAAACAGTTTAAACCAAAGGAACTTGTACCTGTCCATATGTATCATTGATCTCTGATATGTAAGGTTGTAAGTTAACAGGGATATATAGTTGAAATCAATTGGCCGATATAAAATATTTTTTAAAATCTAAGCAAAACGTATATACGATGTTCATACGTGAAATAGGAGACGTATAAAAGACGCACACAAGACGAAACGTAAGATGTATAAAATATCTCCTTAAGGCTTTATTAGGCACACATACAATGCATTATCTAATCAATTGTATATTTAAAACACCAGCAGGCAGCTAACGGGCACATATATTCTACTGTAATACTTTTAATACACGACATAGTAGGTAACATACAAGCACTCCTAGTCAAAATGATAAACGTTTTCGACAAAGTTTGTCCTTGACCTAACAGTTGACTCTAAGAAAGTAATACGAATCGGCAAGCTTGACTGACAAATAAAAATAACTAATACATTCGCATTATGCAATAGTAATGTGTTTGGAATTTAGCAACTAGGTTAAATAAAAATTAATTTTTGTTTTTATTATCATCAACTATCTCACGTTCCTATTCGAGGTAGACATCAATATATATTGAAGAGATCTTGTCCAGATAAGCCCCGCCACCCATATGTATATCTGCTGACTAAATATTGAATATTTAAACACACGCCATAAAAGCAACTCATTAATGGCCTCTAGTATTATGGATAGTGCTAGGGCTAGTGTTGGGGTTAAACATAATGTTATGGTAAAGGTAAGGGTTAGGGTTAGATTTATAGTAACGGATAATGTCAAGGGTAAGTGTGGCTTTAGAAATAGTGTTAAGGATTTTCCCTGGCGGGAAAAAAATAATTTGAAAAGTAACAGCATTGAATAATGTTGTTTGAGTAAATGGCTTGTGATCCGTTGCCAAAATTATACAGTTAATTACTGTTGCCCGTACCTTGTCAACATATTGTTTGCTCAAAACAATTTCTTAACGTCAAATGTAATCATGTAAATATCATGATTGTAATCAGCAGAACTGACGCACTGACATTGGGAGATATACTCTATAAAGCATAACATTTCATTAGTAGTATATTTTTTTTGTATTTTTGACTGATCAAGTGCGTGTATAGTAATCTGAAAATATGTTTTAAAATAGTTTGTTTGAAAATGTATTTAAATATATTAGATAGAAGTTAAATGAATGTGACGTGAATCGCAACGTTTTATTAAACATAAACAAACTGAGACAAAAGACCCATAAATTAAAGTAATGGCCGGTAACGATCTGTCCAATCAACGTACAGGTACATTTTACTTCAAAGAAATATGGAGCCATAATTGTTGTTTTCAATGTGGACAATATGGACTTGCCACTATTATGGTGTTTTGTTTATCAACAGAAACTAACATAGATAATATAGAATATCACGACATTATGGTCAGTGAAAGAAACGTATCAAAGTATTTTACAGGTAATGTCCAATTAAATATTTTTATTTAATGTAAAACAAAACGTTTCAAATTAGAAAAAAAACAATAATGTTTTGTTGCTGATGAATCATTATTTTTGAAACTTTTTGGAATTTAAATGTTTGAATGTTGGTTATAGTTGAGATGGTTCTGACAGCTCAAATTTGTAGATAGGTATCATATTTTATGTTTGTCAAAGTTTAACAGCTAATGAAATGTTATTAATAATAAAATTGTTTTGTTTACCTGTACCGGTACACATGAAGTACAAGAATGTTTTGAAAGTCAAGGTGAGGCACATTTGAATCTTTACAAGAAAAAATGTCAAAAATCTCATTCAGGATTTGTAAATAGAATCTCATAGAAAAAGTATTGCACACCAAGCGAACGCCGAATTAAGATGTTCATAATGGTGCGCAATATTATTACTACTTTATAAATTTAGATGCGTTTATGAGAAATCGGAAATAGCGTAAATTAGTACTTCCCGTCAACGGCAATTACTCAAAATTTAACAGAAGGTAGAGAATTAGATCATTTACTTACGTGTGAAATTTCATTTATCTATCTGAAATAGTACTCAAGTTATAGGCTTTTGAAAAATTCAAAGTAGAAAAAGTACCACTTCCGGTTATCGGAAATAGCTCAAAAGTTGATACGTATCTACGATTTTGATAAAATACTTATATATGAAATTTCATCAACCTAGCTGTAACGGTACTCAAGTTATCGTGTTTACACACACACACAGACACACACACACACACACAGACACACAGACATACGGACAAGATTGCAAAATTATGTTTTTCCGTATCAGTGAGGTGTAAAACGTTGAGCTTTGTAAAAATCTCGATTTTTTTGCACGATTACAATACTTTCTCTATACTACGTAGGCCTATATACGAGAAAGTAAAAAGTTTCACAAAAAATAAATTTTCACAAATTAAACTGATTCCTTTTAATATTTATTAGAAAAATGTGATTTATGAAAATCAAAAGTTTGAACATTTAGCCGAAATAGGCCATGAAGAGAAATTCGTTGAGCTCAATGAATGATTATAAATTATTCTTTGTCTTATTAATTATAAATAATACTGCATAACAACTACCAATGCACAGTAAAGCTGTAAATTATAGGTCGTCATAATCGAAAGCCAATGCGAAACCTGAAAGAAAAAAGAACCTCATTTTACAAAGGATATGTAAAGTATACTGGTACGAAATGATATTTTGGGTGTTCCTAAAAGAATCTAGGTGTACCTGTAGGTTTTCTGGGCCCAGGACGACATTACCCTACCGTCATTTATCCACTTAAACCCACACGACGTTTGCCCTAAAGACATAACCTTCTGTCAATTACCCCAACCCACCTAATAAATTCCCTTCCCCCAACAACCTTGATTTTTGGCTCACCCCTAAACATATTGCTGACGCTAATCCCAACCAAAACCGTATGCCTAAAGTATCGCTTCTATCTCTATATGAATAAAATAAACCGGGAGTGATCTCCCCTAAACTTTCTCGAATTTTCTACTATAACACTACGGTGGATGGCAATTCGGGCCATAGATAATATTTTTATTACATTTTTAATGACTTAAACTTTTTATAATAGAATAGAATCTCGTAAAAAAACTGCACACCAAGTGAGCGCCAAATAAAATGTGCATAATAGTGCGTGATATTATTACTACTTTAGAAATTGAAATGCGTTTTTTGAGAAATCGGAAATAGCGTAAATTACTACTTCCGGTCAACGTAAATTTCTCGAAATTTGATAGAAGGTAGAGAATTAGAATATTTACTTACATGTGAAATTACATTTACCTATCTGAAATAGTACGCAAGTTATAGGATTTTGAAAAATTAAAGTAGAAAAAGTTCCACTTTCGGTTATTGGAAACCGCTCAAAAGTTGATACGGATCTACGATTTTGATATAATACTTATATATGAAATTTCAACAATCTAGCTGTAACGGTACTCAAGTTATCGTGTTTATACACACACACACACAGACACATACACACGGATATACGGACAGAATTGCAAAGTCCAGTTTTTCCGATAACGCATAAAACGCCAAAATGTTTATATATTTGTATTTATATTTTTTGCCTGATTACAATAAGTCCTCTATACTCCGGATGTAATGAAGGACTGATGTGTAAAACGGTGAAAACTGTCTAAATTTCATGCAATTTTTGTGCACGATTACAAGACTTTATCTATACTTCGTATATACGCGAAAGTAAAAATTAAAAAATTTAGACTTATGAGTTTTTTATTAAAATAAAAGCTCACCTAAATCCCGATTACCTGTAATAATAGCAAACATATATTTTAGAAACTACCAGAACAATGTGGTCTAGTAATAAACATAAAGTGTAAATATTTGTTTATTTGCTACTTGAGAACGGCTGTAGTTAAGCATACAAATATCACTCATTCATCTGGATCACACGTCGCTACGCGCAATCTATCTCTAGATCATCCAATTGTCAAGTTACTACTGACTTGTAGTCATTTTAAGTTTATTTTTCTAATTATTATTACTTTACATTTAATAAGATTAAATCATACAAGCTTTGGTCGCTCATAAGATATTTTACTTATTTTAGTAACAAAACCTTTTATAAAAGAAACCAAAAAAAAATTCTTATTTTAAGTGCTTTAAAAGCTTGTTGTTATAAAGTTTTTTTTAATATATTTTTTAACATTTTAGTGATTCTTAAAAAATTATTATGAAATCGACACGACTAAAAATGTTTGCTTTAAAACAGCATTAGTAGCTCGCAATATCTAATAGACTACTATCTGTCGCATGATAAGCAGTTGGTCTTAACCACAATTTACAGACACCATCAAGCTGATTAATTAAAGGACAGTTCTTAATCCCCCAAGTTTCAAATCTTTTAAAAACTATATTATCTCTTCTAACAACCATCACTAATTCAACCCGATAGAACACTTTCGGCGTGACCC